CCTATACCTCCCATACCTCCTATACCTCCCATACCTCCTATACCTCCTACACCTCCCATACCCCCTATACCTCCTACATCTCCTATACCTCCTATATCTACATATCTATCTACCTCTTACCCCTAGGACATAATCGAGTTTCCGGGGATATTCTCCGAAGACATGTAATCGTTCTGAGCATAATGAAAATGGCATCCTTTGACTAATGCTTGAGGAAATACATCATTAATCGCATTAATCATACATTGTTCAAAATCTATAAAAATAGTTGATGGATTTAATGTAATATTTCGTTTTTTTACATGAACAAATAATGATTCAAGTAATTCATGACAACATTTTTCAGATTTATTTTCATAACAAGAATAAATTATTGGTTTCATACTATACTCGTCCCAGACATAAATATAATATGATCGAGCAAATAATGCAGGTGATGTTCGAAATGTATCATCACCATTCCAATGTGGATTAGTGCTTAACAATTTTAATGCTTCTTCTAATGCAAATGCTATAACTTTGTCTGGCGATGGTGAATTACAGAATAAAGATTCCTTTTTAGTATTGTTGTAACGTATGTCTTCAGGAATATAAATTGACGATATTGATAGTGGTGTTGGAGGTAATATTATTTTGCGAATAGAATATAAAGTTGATTTCCATGCTCTGAAGACTGGTACTGGAGCAGCTGTTCCATTTTCACGACGCTAAATAGAATAAACGCGATCATCTATGTGCTGTATAAATGAAATGAACAAGTGCTTACAAATTTTTTTACTTCTTCTTCGTAGATTTTTGTAATAAATTGATCTATATCAGTTAAAATTCAACATTTCAAACCACAGAATATGCTTTGAATATTTTCTGGTAGTTTTGCATGATGATTATGATTTTCACCATTTGATTTTATAATTGCATTATTTTTTAACGTAATAGTACGAGTACATTGCTTAAACGTGCAGACATAAATTGAGGAACCATTCTGATTTTCACGTTTTAATCGATATAAGTAATTATTAAATAGAATAACTCTTTCACCCTTATAGGTCGTTGACCAAGTAAATTTTGTATTCATAGTTTGATATGTATTATGGTTTTTTTCTTATTCTCACGATTATATATTAATGTTATCAATAGAATACATCTCATAATCTAATCTTTATAATAACTAATTAATCAAAGTGGTCGCAATTTGGAAATAGATTATAAATGAGATCAACGTACATTTCTGCGTTCCAAATTGCGACTACTGAAGTGTTAATTGGCTTAATTTTTGGTCGCAATTATGAAGCTACGATAGAATCATAGTCCTTTCCAAATTTTCTTACAGTTCATTGAATTTCATTTTTTGCCATGTAGACTTTTTAAAGTAATCGAGTGACCATCAAATATACTACATCATTTTATTTCTAAATTCGATTTATTAGACAGCTTTTGCTAACGATTTGTTTTAATTACTAGTATATGGAAAGTGGAAGATAGCGGAGAGACGTATTTCATTAAATTGTTAGTTTTTTTTTGTTTTACAAATCCACTATAATTTAATTCGGGAAATTCAATCCAATCGAAAAAATTTGTGTAACTGTGTTTGATTTTTCACGAAACTATTTATCAATTATTCGGCATGAGAATATATCCTGCTTTTTTATTAATTTATTTAAATCTATTATAAATATAGTGATTTTGTAATATTAAAACGTTATAATTGGCCAAAAATTTGCTAAAACTCTTTTTTTCTTTTTTATTATTGGAGTAATATACTTCGTTTATGAATATTTCTCACTAGTAATAATTCAATCATTACAGTTTATTAATTTCGAATTCAGGCTGAAATTTTGATTTTTTGTTCAGTTTTGATGTTTTTTGCTCTTTTGTAGTTTTTTTAATGCACTACGCACATCAAATTTCTTCCCATTTTTATCAATGTTGACAGTGTCTCGATCTTTTTTAGTCAGTAGCAATTGATCTTTAAAATGAATCGCGTCTTTTGATTGACAGAATCAAATATGGACATGGTGAGAGAAAAAATTTTCTTTTTGAGAGATTCCACTAACGTCGAAAAAAAAAGATCACAGTTGACTTGGCTAAAAGGTCTAATGTCATTGTCCTAGTTGCTAGGTCGTATTTCACTAATATGTTGATTGTAGCTCATTGCATAGACGCTCAAATGTGTCTCGAAATGTTTTAGTTGGAGACTATAGATGCCCTATATCAGAAGCTTCTTGAGCAAAAATCAAATAACAAACAACTGCATTAATAATATTGAATAGATGTCAAACGACTGATTTTTTTGACCAATAAAAATACTGAAAGAATCTGTACAAAAATTAAGAGATTATATTCATCGATGCATTATATACGATTGATCATATCAATCATTCAGCCTTTGACTTTGATGTGAGAAACAAGTTCTTCAATTCAGCTCATGAAGAATTGTTGAAAATGATTTATCATAGCTCAAAGTCATGCTTGAAACAAGCATCCCAATAAGAGACACAACACAATCAATATTTATAGTACATGTTGATGATACAGACGCCAACTCTCACCTTTCGTAACCGACAGGATAGTAGATCTAACACGTGCTTGATACTTGTTGCAACGATGGCAACAGCGGTGACTGTTTTAACTAGGATTTTAATTCTATCCCATTTACCAATTAATCCATCTCTTCGTGACAAGTAGAACATCTATTTAAAGAAGCATTAAAACAAAATTCTCATAATTATGATCGCTTTGTTGATCTTTGAAAATTCATGCAATATTCCGTACTAAAGGGTGCGCATGAGAAAAATTTCTGACACTCACTTGCTTAAATTCACCTCCGGCATGTTTCAGATTTTGCTGCAATTGCTCAAGAAGAAAATAATGCCTGAAGGTGTAAAATGGAAAAAGAGAACCAAGTCTGCTATGCAACACTAAAAAGGCCATTCAGTTTTGGAGCATACAAAGAAAACAAACGGTGGGTGTGCGATTCAGGCTTCGGGTCTGAGCGGATGTAGGTATGGGATTTACAATTTGAGTTTGAGGGATGGATCCTGGGTATGAGAAGTTGGCTTTGAGTGGATGTGAGTGGGTGTGGTATGTAGGCTTTGACTATGAGTGAATATGGGTGTGAGTGGATTTCGGTGAGGTTGCGAATGTAGATGGGATAACTATGGTGGGAGTGAGTTAGGGTTGTGGGAGAGAGGATGTGAGCGGGGACGTAGAGTTGGTGCGTTTTGGTGGCAGTCTAAATGTAGATTTTCTTTGCACAAATAGTCCGATTCACTCGCACCCACACTCATCCAGTTCTTATAACTACTGTATGTGCCATTTGCCATAGCAAGTTTTTATCCATAACTACGGCTAGTATGAATCGAGAGAATTGCTTTGAGAGCAAAAGCCATGAAATGACTTATTTGATTCAAGTTAATGAGACAAGAGGCAACTCTTCAGTCATAAAAAAGTGGGTAGCGAAAAAAAAAAGCATGTAGCTTTCGATGATTGATCTTGAAGTATGTTCACATTGAAATTATATTTTATCATTATTCAAATGTAGTGAAATTGTAAGCTATCTTTTCTCTTTCTTTTATTCTCAGAGTGAGTTGAAAATTGAATTTGCGTAAGGTGTTGCCTATGTTTGAAATACATAGAATCGCATCAAACTTTACTTTTGCAAACAATTGTGCATCGATCAATATTTTATTGTGACAGTCATCATATATTCGGAACTACAGAATAAGCAGGTAACTCGTAATCAAAGATGGCATCGTCTAAAACAAAAGTGACTCGTGTGAGAAATCAACGGCGGCTTGTATGTGCAGTTAAAATCTGCGTCGAAGTATTGTAAAACTATGTCTTATGTTATAGCATTCAACTCAGTCAGACATGTATGGCCAAAACATCAGCACATCAACTACAAGAGAAGTATGGTAGACGTAAAAAGTCTCATCATTGCGTAAAAGCGTCTAACCTTTGTCCTATTTGAGGCTCAAGTTTTCACCTGAAATAGAACTCCGTAAATGCTGATTCCAGGCAGCAATCAAAAATCGATTCATATTTTCATAAGATTTTATAGTGCTTTTCAAGGAAGCAAGTCTAAAACCCTAATACATCGCGTATCGACAAAGACAAGTCATGATACAAACGAGGTTCCAACAAGACACACAACAGTTTCTATCTCGATGTTTCACTGACCGAAGTAGGGTGTTATATGGGCGGTCTTTCCATCCACATCCACATTCCAGTGAGGTTTCCACAGATTCTTTTGAATCAGTCAGATCTTGATGCGCTCGTTTCAAAGATGGGAAATAGAATAGCAGATTTTGAGAATGTTTTCGCTCTAATCTGAATGTGTAAGTGTAAGTATGGATGTGTATGGTGTGGTGAAGGTGTTCACTACCGCATCAAGCCTACAATCACAGTCGCAGCCAAACTCACATGAACATGCACATTACCCGTTTATTCTGAATTGATGTGACTCAAATGTTGAAGTGCCAAAACTCGTTCAGCGAGTAGTAGAAGGATGCGTCCCAAAAACAGATGTATGTCATTCCTTGTTGAACAAAAAAAATGAGCCCATAATATTCGATCGAAAATAGTTTATCGATCGATTCATTAATATGTATTGCGTAAATTATATCATAAAACCGGCTGTTTTTTTGCCATCTTCTATCAGTTCAATCATAAATGTAAATCGATCGGTTTAGTTCGGTTAAAGAACACTCGACCTGTTCTAAGTATGATGTATTGAAGAATGGCTGATTGAGAATCGAAGAAAGTTAGAAAGCGCTAGGATAAGGTTCAGATAATTTATAGCGATGTTCAAATACTTTATTCAGAGACACAAATAGTTTAAGCCAGGGGTGAGCTGTCCTTCGTCCCCAAACTCTACATTTCCCTACTTCCCTTCTTCCCTCTCTTGGCTTAGCCAATAACTTTTGGTCGTATTCTGCAAGCTGAGATACAAGTGATCAATGTATAAAATCAGAAGGGCCCAATGTACGATTATGGAATTGAAAAAATATGTGTTAGCAACCAATAAGGATGATCCTAGAAATTTTTTTGCTGTTTGATTCAAAATGGAAAAAGCCATGACACCGTCTAAAAACATATGGTCTTCCTTCTGATTTATACTTGAACTGAATTAGAAGAGGTCTCCGATTTCCGCATTTATCCGTCCAGATCCTTTTCGATTTTCAATTTGTATAAAGTGAGGATTCAGTTCAAAAGTTTCATAAAGCATGCAATATAATCCTTTGTTGGCAGGATATCTTACATAAATAGGATGCTCTACTTAATTCTAGCTAATTGATCTCCAATCAATTAAAAGTCATGGCTATTTAGCATCGACAACAAGAACAAATAAAATTCAACCACAAGAACAAAGAGTAACCATAATGAAATATGATATCATGATGAGATTAAGTTAATTCTAGGATGTTATATTCGTAAACGGTAGAAGAAACCCAAACCGACATAAAAAGTAAGTTCTTTACTCTCCGCATCTTATTCTCTATAAACATCAGTTGATTATACTACAGGAATCGTCCAGTATTCAAAATCACGCGACCTTGTTGCTTTTGTTTGATAGGTACTCTCTTTGGTAGTATATTTCTCGCGACAGTAGCAACTACCATCAGTATAATCGGTATGTATCAATCAATAAGATATCTCCCGATTTTTCTACGTACGTATCAACAAGTTATTGCAAACAATGTCGTGTATAATCAATAATGAGCGGTTCAAACAAAGTTATACTTTGAATTTTCTTGATAATTGTATTTTTTCAGTCTAGGCAAAGGTGCATCAACATCTAATATATTCCATTGATAACTATTTCATTTGTTCAATGCTGCAAAGTACTTCAAACTATAGAGCAGAAAAATTAGAGTAGAAAAATAAGAGTTTCCAAAAAGAGTCAATTTCACAATATTTGAAAATCGCATTAGTGCAAGAAATATTGTTCCCTTCAAAAACATCGTTTTATTGACCGAGATTGTTTCACACATTATAAACTATTACAAAAATTAATCAGCTTGGTCCAGCACAAAATATTATTTTTTCCAACAGTATCCAATGGATGAATGACACAAAAGATCACTTTCTGTATTTTGATGATATTTTCTTTATCTTTTGTCGGTGAGAATCAATAGTTTTTCGAAAACTTTCTTCGTTCTACACTCAAAATCTCGGTATCAAACGTTTTATTTCAAACTGTAAAACTTAAACATCAATATGAATACTAAAATGAAATGAGACTGCCAATATTCAAAGTAATAAAAAGGAAATTTTAAATTTTATGACACTATACATTCAAGTTTGTAAGAATATTTGAGTTTTGTTTTCTAGTGTAATGAAATCTGCTGTATTCAACCATGTATGAAAATACTGGTTTGCATTTAATTGATGGGAATGGTATTTTACTGTGTATGAATGTCCTAGACGAGATTATTTCCATTGTAGAAAAGAAAAACATGAGCTTAATCTGTTAGAATTAGACAGCGCCACCATTATTTTATTAGAACACAAAAGAATGTCGAATGAAAACCACTATTTTTCCAGTAATTGTATTTTAGAAAATAATTACTTAAGATTCAGGCAGTTAGCAAACAATCATTACCTAGGACTTTCACATGACTTTTCAATAATAATTGTTATAGCCTACTTGTTTTCGTTAACAACAATAACGTCGACAAATACAGGCGAATATATCGTCTTACGCTTTGAAAATTGTCAGGTTAACATTCACTTCAGTATTTCGACTTTATTTTTTTTGCGTTTTATACTTTCGAATGAAGCATTTGATAGAGATGTCAT